TAAGTCAGTCGAATGAGAGAAGTATCTGGGAGTGAGATATGCTCCTTTATCGTATAGGACTCTGTGGTGTACTGATATGACCTACTGATACAACACCAAGATAGTAAGTGGCTAAATGTTTGACATTTTAATACAACTAAAAAAGGAACTTTCATTGGTAGCCATCTTGAAATCCAATATGGTGGCCTTCCAACATAATTTCCTGATGATTGCATGGTACTCTCTGATATTAAGAACATGGTTAAAGGTGTGACTGACTGTGTTACGTTACTGTAGATATGAAGATAATGACAAAAATAACAATATTTTGGCAGCCATCTTGAAATCAAATATGGCGGCCATCTGTCATAATTTTTGATGATTGCATAATACTCCCTGATATTGAAAACATAGGTAAAGACCTTTAAATGACAGTGCTAGGTGCTGTAGATATGAAGATTATTGATAAAAATCCAATATTTTGGTGGCCATTTTGAATTTCAAGATTGCGGCCACTAAGCGGCTTATTTTTTGGGGTCTATTTTTTTTAATGATCCTTAGGTGTCATAGTATCACTGTGGAAAGTTTCATGCTTTCTTCCAAAAGTGCACGATTTTTCTCCTTAGCCACTCTACTATAAGATTAAGTAATCTATTACCATTTGTATTTGGAAATGGGGTCACCATTTGGTATTTCATTACCAATCCTTGAATTAAAATCACCCATCAACAGAATATTTGGGTCATCTTCCTCATGTTGAATTCTAAAACTTTCAGATAATAACTGATTATATAATTCATCAGTTAATTCATTATTAACCCTCCACCGGAAAATACACAACGGCAATGTAAATTGGTTTCCCGTCTTCATTGCACACTTTGATCCAGAACCTTTCATAATCGTCGTTCATGGAGTCTAAGACATTTCCAAAAATCACTGATAGCTTTTAAGTTTTAGAAATAAAAATACCAACCCCACCCCACCCTTTTCTTTTCTATTTTTTGATTTGAATTCATATCCATTAACATTAAAATTTAAATCATTAATACCCGTATTATTTAAAAAGGTTTCAGATATACCAAGTAAGTCAATTTTGTTTATATATAAGTATTGTTCAATTATATAGAATTGGGATTTTGTTAATCTATTTACATTATTAAAAGCAATAGAGAAAACATTATGACAAGAACTTTCCTTTTCTTACCTCCACGGCGGCATCTTACTTTACGTTTTTCTTGATTTTTAACATTAGGAGAAGTTATAAATTTACCATCATTATTTTTGTGACGTCGCTACTGGTCAATGATTATAGTCCACTGCTGTACTGCGGTCTAACCAGTTAGCTGTCTCAAATTTTAAAGCCTACTCAGAGGAAGCTTAAAATGGTCTTAATTCATTTTCATCATGGTATTACAGGTCCTAGACCTAAATCGTCAAAGACTAAGAATCGATCGACAATTATTCCACAAGCTTCTCAGAATCTGTAAAAACCGGTCTATGTTTATTTACGTTCATTATGATAAATATGCATTTTTTTAGCAGGTGTAACAGCACCCTCAATTTTATGTTACCACAGAGTGCTTGTTTGCGTTTCAATACTCAAAGTGGTCTAAGTGAAGACCTAGCAATGGTCTTAGCAGAGTGACTTTAGTAAGACCGCCTAAGTGATAAAACCAGCTTTATCCAGTGGCTTTATTCAAGGAGTTAAGACTACTAGTTATGACTGTTTTATTGCAATCCGCCCCTATAAGCAGGAGGCTCCTAACAAACAGACAAACAAACACAGAAACAGAAAAAGACAAAACATACAAACAAAATCCAATGAAAATATAAAATACTTGTGGAAGTACAAACAAAATCCAATGAAAATATAACCTCCTTGGAGATGCAATACAATCAAATGAATTCAGTAAATCATTACTCTATATTAGGCCAAAATATTACTCTGTATCAAAGCAAAATTAAATATTGAACCAAATACAAATATTTTAGGCTCTTTGGTTTAATAGATGTTAATACAAAAATAGCGATCCTGATTTTTAAATGGGTCAGTTGGGTTTGGGCAACACCAAGCTGGGTTTTTTTTTCTCTCTCTAAACTAAACTAGGTACTTATAAACGCCACATGCTGTTTGACAGTCTGCTTGGGTATCAAAGTTGTTGGCATTTCCATCACAATAATTAGAAAATAAGGTACAACCACCTCTGTAATATTAAGGTTGGCGCTGATTACTTGTTATTTACTGCCATGTGTTGTTTGACATTCTACTTGGGTTTCTAAGTCGTTGGCATTACCCTTACATGTAATAACGCTACATTGTGTGTACGAAGCAAGTCTTACCCTAATTTTTTAAAGATTTGTTGTCAGATGTGCTTTTGCAACACAAAGGGGGGTTTTAGACACAATTATTTTTTATTTACATCCACATGATGTTTGACAATCAGTTATGGTCACAAAATTGTTGGCATTTTCACCACAATAATAAGCAAATGGAGTACAACCACTTGTACTGTCAGCGCAATATTTTTCAAATTACTTATTGTTATTTACCTCCACATGCTGCTTCACACAATGCACTGCTTTCAAAGTTGTTGGCATTTGCACCACAATAATAAGCAAATGGAGTACAACCACTTGTACTGCCAGCATAGTAATAACGCAAAGTTACTTGTGCCCCTGGGCATGTCGCAGCCGTCCCAGCAGCTAAAGGTAAGGAACAGACACCTGAAAAACAATAATTAAAACATAAATTTGTTTGTTTCTAATAAACCAAGAATAAGTTACAAGAGCACACTGAACGGGCAAAACATGGATGGGTTAAATCAGGCATGAGAGAACCTATTTGCCAGACGCCAGTGTTTTTTACAGTCGGACAACAAGAATTTTAGGTGCCACTTGACATGAAATGTCTGGACTTCTAGACTTGTAAATACTTTCACGTATGAATATGAACAGCAGCCATTAGGCCAACTTCAATAAAGGCCTAGTCTATTTCGTTTGCGTGTGGGCGAAAGCAATCTAGACAAACTAGGAAAGGGTAGTTAAATTGGGATTTAAAGTTGTTAAAGTAATCAAGAAATCATTCACTTCTAAGTGATGGAGACAATGTGCATATAAAATCCAAATATTGTAAAACTGGAGTTAATCATTGAGGGGTTAGGTCCTATAAATGAATCATATTCCCGTCTCAATTATTTCACCATCTCGGAAAGATTCGTCCTCTCGGCCCATCCTTATAGTTATATTAGGTCTACAGTACAGTACTTGTCTTTCGTTGAGAGGTAAGCACTTTTATTTATTTTGTAATAAATGAAATAAGGATGTGTGAGGCTGTAAAATATTCCCCGCGTAAAATATTGGGCCCAGAAATCCGTCACGGCATTTAAGAACATGAGCCGATTTCGACAGATATTTTGCAGAAAATTGAGGCCTTCATAGTACAGTAGTAGGAACATAAGAATATTTACAATTCTGCACATCTATTTTTCTAGATGTTTTCTCATGCAATATGAATTTGAAACATTTTGAAGTTAGTATTAGAATTGATTAAGATCTGTAAATGGGATATGGCCACACCCTCCCCTTTCTCCAAATACCGTCATAAAACACAGTCTTCTCGTGTAGGCCCTATCGTGGGAATCAACCATGCCTGAGAAATGTCTACTTGCAGTTGTCGTGACAGTGGCTTTTAAACCCGCAATAGGAATATGATCAACACACTCCTACATACATAGAATATTAATAATAATGCACCGGCTTTTCAACCACTATTTGAAAAATTCACAAGGTGAAATATAGTGGTTAATACACAAATGAAGTCACACCCTCAAAATTTGTTGCATTACATGAGCACCAGAGAGGCAAACACAAGGACAAAACATCAAAGTATACATAGGTTAAACAATTGAATAACAACTGAAATGCTATAACAATTATTAGAAAAAAGGACAAAATTTCAAGATTATGGTAAAAAATGATACACAAATAATTATAAAGTTGTCTTGCTATCACTCACAAAATATTTTTGCATTTAATTCACATCTGTTATAGTTTTGTTCAAATTAACAAATTGGAAAGCCTCTGAAAAGAGGTCAGAGAACTTACTAGTCTCACAGTGGGTTCCAGTGTAACCAGATGGGCAAGTACAGGAATACCCAAAAGATGTTAGAGAGCAAGTTCCACCATTTAGACAGGGTGCAGATGCACAGGCTGTTGTAACCACTATTTGAAAAAAATCACATGGTGAAATACAGTGGTTAATACACAAATGATTACAAAGTCACACCTTCAAAATATTGTTACATTACATGAGCACATCATAAAAGCACACACAAGGATAAAACATCAAAGTATACTAAGGTTAAACAATTGAATAAACAACTGAAATGCTATAACAATTATTAGAAAATTTCAAGGTTATGGTAAAAAAAATACACAAATAATTACCAAGTTGTGTTGCTGTCACTCACACAATATTTTTGCGTTTAATTCACATCTGTTATAGTTTTATTTAAATTAACAAATCGGACAGACTTTGAGAAGAGGTCAGAGAACTCACCAGTCTCACATCGGGTTCCAGTGTAACCAGATGGGCAACTACAGGAATACCCAGTAGATGTTACTGAGCAAGCTCCACCATTCAAACAGGGCGCAGATGTACAAGCTGTTGTAACCACTATTCACAATAGTGAAAAATTCACATGGTGAAATATAGTGGTTAAACAAATGATTACAAAGTCACACCCTCAAAGTATTGTTGCATACATGAACACATCATAAAAGCACACCTAAACCTAGGCCTACAAAAAAACTCAATTGTTTGCCGCCATCCGCCGCGCACCTAAAGTCTGAAAAATGAGGTTGAGGGGTATGCTTTTTTTCCCTAAAAGTTTTTTTCGACACGATTTTCATTTTACACGACCGTCGGTTCCACAGCACGCCAACACCAACCACGAATTCACACATTATTAACCCTAAACTTTTCTCTCCTCGTGGTTGGTACTACTACTACCAAGGTGATACAATGTCGGTTGTTGCGATTTGTACCTTTTTAAACACATTTAATAAGTAAATGAAGCTGGTGAGCTTGACCTGTATAGTGCAGTAGTTTATTTTAATCACGTGTCTCACTCCAAATATTCCGCAAGCTTCCCAGCATCTGTAAAATCCGGTTTATTTACTTTCATTATGATAAATATGCATTTTTTGACTTAGAGGTGACGGAACTAGGGTGTTACTGTGTTATGGAGAGTAACGTGTGACCGGAAATGGTCTGCAGTCAGTTGGTTGTTACCATGCGCCAGTGATGTTGGAGTATATAGTACAGCAATTTGAAACTATTATGTAGCTAATGAATGAATAAAGTTCGGAGTTTGTCGGGTAGTGAAATGATTATTTCACATTTTAAGTGCTCCCTAAATTCATAAGTGTAAGCTAAATTACGGTGATTGATTAATTAATTATTTCGAATCCCACTTTCCAAAAGAGGGGATGCAAATGCTTTGTGAAAATTAGTACGCCACGGTACTCATTTTCACAAAGAAATACACACAACTGGTTAACTAACAGTTATGTCAATGTTACATGAACACCTGGGAAGGAAGGTGCAATCCCGTTACCTAGCAAACGTCTGCACTGTATGGGGGAGGGGCTGCTGATGATGGAATACAGATCATTTCGGTCGCGCTTCATTTCGGTCGCGGTTTGTTTTCAACAAATATATGGAGCGCCAATGGAGTTGCGAAACGCTAAATTTAATATAACCAGTAGGCCTAATTATCATTACAAGTTCGTCAATCGGTTTATCATACTTTTTTTATCTATGTTTTGTTGTATTTTTAATAAGTAACAACTGGCTACTTAAAAGCAAATAAAATTAATACTATTATTACTAAACTATCAATTAATATTATCGGACGGTTTTTATTTTCGTTTTGTTATGAATCCTACGCTTTCTACTACATAACAAATACAGCAAATAAAATAAATACTAAAGTATGATATTCAATTCAATTCAATATAAAGTTTATTTCCACATCACATCATCAATATCAATACAAAATACATAGACAGAACATTTGAATAAAGTGGAAAAAGGGTCGCCACAACAAGCAAGCTTTATAACGGGCGCCCAT